CTGGTAGCCCACGGCCAGGCTCACTTCAGGCAGGGGATGGAGCACATCTGGCTGGATGACGAGCTGCACTGGGGGCAAGGACATCGCCCAGTGCCAAGCTCCTCCCTGGGGACAGACTAAGTGTCACCATGGAGAAGATGCCAGCGTGGTGTGCTCAAGTACATCCCATCCTGCGACACAGGGCATCGGGGGGATGGACGGACAGAAGGGTCTGTCTTGCATCTGGCTGTCTCTGGAGTGATGTTAGACCTGGAAAGATGTGGGTTTTGGGGAGGGGGCCTGGCAAAGGGTCATAGCCTCTTTTTGGCCAGGCCTTTCCCCAAACCCGCAACAGGTTCCCACCCTATTCATAACCAACATATCATTAAAACCTTCACGCTCCACTCCCCATGGCACTAAGCAAGCCAAGCCCTGTCTCAAGGGGACCACCCAACCCCAAATCCCTGGCCTGGTCTCCATTGCCTGGTCCACACACTTCCATGGAGGAGTCACCACCATTTTTGGGTATGAAGCTGCAGCTGAAGTCCATCCTTACAGCCATGCTCCTCTGGAAGGGTTGGTGGGTTGCATCCCTTGCTCAGGATGACCATAATGACTCTGTATTTTCACTCTGGCTTCTGGTTTGGATATTATTTTTTTTTTGGCAAGGCAAGGGGTGTCCTGTTCTCCTTTCCTAATAGGATTTCTCCTGGCAGATGCCAACTTCACTGAGAATGTGCAAGTACGCTTGGTCAACGGCCCACACCGCTGTGCCGGGAGAGTGGAGGTGCTTCACAAACAGCAGTGGGGGACTGTCTGCGATGACAGCTGGGATTTGAAGGATGCCAAGGTGGTCTGCCAGCAGCTGGGCTGCGGGACAGCTGTGTCAGTCCCGAACCAAGCTCATTTCGGGCAAGGGTTGGAACCCATCTGGCTGGATGACGTGGAGTGCACTGGCATGGAGACCACCTTCTCCCAGTGCAACCTTAGGAGCTGGGGACAGCATAACTGCAACCATGAGGAAGACGCGGGAGTCGTGTGTTCAGGTGGTGCCCAGAGGGAATGCTCAAATATCCCAAAAAAGGGCTTTATCTGGGACTGGAAGGCTGGCAGCACTGGTGGGATATCAGTGATGGGAATGACCTTGCAAGGGAGCTGAGGGGAGGAATAGTGCAGCAGGTAGAGGTGGCACGTGGCATGCATGCCCATCCTTGCACACCTGTGCACCTTGCATGCCCCTCTCCATCTGCCTGCGGGGTTGGAGGGGCTGTCTCACCCCACTTGCTCCCTCTTGCAGGCACAAACCCCTTGCAGCTGCGGCTGCAGGACAGCCCCGGTCCGTGCGCAGGGCGGGTGGAGGTGCTCTACAACGCGACCTGGCATGGGGTGTGCGGCAGCAGCTGGAGCTTGCTGGAAGCCGAGGTGGTCTGCAGGCAGCTGGGCTGTGGTCCAGCCCAGTCGGCGCCCATCGGAGCCCAGCTCAGCCGGGAGGATAGCCATAGCTTGCTGGAGGGGTTGAGCTGCCGGGGAACCGAGTCACTGCTCCTGGAGTGCCAGCAGAGAGGGATGGGTCCGGGGCCGTGCAGGCAGGGCTCAGCGGCCGGTGTGGTGTGCACAAAGCCAAAAGGTGAGCACTGGAATCCTCCATGGTGGCTGTGCTGGGTGGGGAAAAAGGTCCCAAGGTGAGAAGGAAGTGGAAAGGTGGCACATGTTCATCCTGGCAAGCTGCTGAGGCCCTTTCCTGGGGGGATGCACCTCATCTACCATCACCCTTGGGAGCATCAGAGATTCTTTCCTGACCCCAAAACACACTCACCCCTCCCGTTCCTTCTTGGAGCCCAAATTTCCTTATCCTCACCCCCCCACACCTCCCACCCTCCAAAACCTTTTGGGCTCCCTCCAGGACCTTATTTTCTCAGATAGGTTGAGGTAGAGCTGGGATGACTTTGAAGGATGGATGAGGTCAGAAATAGGCCTCTGTGAGATGGAGCACCCCAAATCCAAAGGGGGGGGAGAAATGCACCAGAGAGCTGATAGAGGTTGTAAGAGCAGCAGAAATGTTGAAGGTTGCTCCAAGTCCTCCCATCCCATCATCCACCCAAGGAAATGGGTCTTAATGGAAAACCTACTTAAGAAAACCCTTTCTCCACCACCACCCAAGCCCCTGGGGGACGTCAGGCTATGTTCAGTGATAGGTTTTCTTGCACACTGTTACTGGTCTTGACTGGAAATGGAATCCGAAGCCCACTCCCCCCAACCCTAGGTGCTTCACCACCCTGCTCGGTGCTGATAGTGCTGCTGGTCCTGGTGATGCTGCTGAGCGGGGTCCTGCTGTGGCTCAACCTGAAGAGGAGATGCGTGGCAGCAGCTCAGGCTGGAGGTGACAGTCTCACTCCTGTGTGCCCCCCACCCCCCCCAAGTCATGGTCCCCACTCCAGCCACCCCAAAACACTCAGGGGATGGGGATCAGGTCAGCGGCTGCCAGAGCCCCATGACAGCCCAGTGCCTCTTCCATCTCACAGCCCCACGGCACCCCAGAGACCAGACTGCTTCAGCAACGTCCTTCCAGCCCGCAGGGGCCATCTACCTCCCCACCAAGGCCGAAGCCCCCGAGGACACCGACACTGAGACAACACAGCTCATGAAGGAAGATGCTGCCCCATGATGCCAGCCCCCCCCAAGCGCATGCCCCTGGGCTCACATGGGGTTCCTGCTGCCCCTTTCCCCTCATCCGCTTTCCTGAAGACTGCAAAGCAGCAGCTGATGGGCAGGACATTTCAAAAGCAGACAGTGCCAATGACTTATATCAGGAGACCCCAAATAACCAGCCAAGGTGGGGTGTGGGGGGCTATCTCCCAGTTTGGTGACATTTCTTTAACCCACCTTCCCAAACTCTGAGCAGCCTCCGTGACTCAGGAGGAGCCAGATAAACCTGGCAGCCGGTGCAAGGCTGAGCTAAAAGAGCAGAAGGAAGGGTGCAAATTAATTAAAAGGGTTGCCCCCAAACCTCTAGGTGTGACAGGCATGAATGCTGGTGGGAGGGACGCAAGCTGCTTTTGTGCTCTTCTGCCACAGCTTCCTCCAGACCTTTGATGGAGGCAAGTCATGTCCCCCCCTCCCCTTTCATGACCATCCCAGGTGCCAGAGCTGCAAAGCGCTTCACCCTACAACCCCAAATATTCAGCCATCCTCCCTCAATCCACTTTGGGGCAGCCATAGAACCTTATTTTCCTTGCCCTGTTGCCCTCAACCTGTGTCCATCCCTTGGGGAACCTCCCTGATGAGGTTCATGGTAGCACAAGACATGCCCTTGCCTGGTAGCTTATGGCTCTCCGTGGGTACCCCACGCCTAAAAGCATCCCGGTGCAGAGGGACCCCACTCTCAATCTCGCCTCAGGGCCGATCAGGCTTGCAAACTGAGGGCTGCATCCCCAAAGCACCTGGGATGATGCAAGGGAGATCAGGAGGCCCAACAGGCAGAGGTCCCAACAGCAGGAGATGGTATCTGCCAAGGCAACCAAATGCCTTCCTTGCCAGAGACTGAAGTAAACATGGGTACAACGTGCCCCGTTCTCTCTCCAGCTTCCCCAGGGATGAATGACATCCCAAAACTGGGAAAAGCACAGAACCAAAGGCTTTTCCACACTTCCCCACATTTCTCCTTTTTCCTGTGATGCTTCAGAAGGGCTGGAAAGCACTGTCCCCACATTAGGAGCAAAATCAGCCAGGGCTGCTTGGGGGCCATCACATTCAGAAATAAACTGAAAGCCCTCCATGTGAGCCCCCATGAAGCTGTCTCCTAGATCCCGCCTGAGAAACTCCAGGAGCTCACCAGGTGTTGAAGCAAACATCTCAAGATGGATTAGAAAAGCTGGGCAGCACCAGGATGAGATCACTCCCCAGTCCACGGCCGAGCGGGGAGCAGGGGGTCTGCAGGACATCCAAGCAGCACAAAACCTGTGATAATTTCCTCCAGCAGTGAGGTCTTTCCTTGCCACCTACCAAGCTGGTGTTGGCCACAAGGTCATTGCTTGGTGGCCATGCAATGCATGATCCCAGCACATAAGAAAAGCCTTAATTCCAAGATGGGCATCTTTGGGAGCAGACGCCCTGGGGGGCTTGATCCACAAGAGATGCTGCTCTCCCTGCATCTGAAATGCAGCAGATCTGCAAGGTTAGCTCCCTTGGGTCTCCAGGGTGCCAAAGGCCGGAGATCCCACAAGGCAGGATGCCCATCAAAGGCTGGGACTTGTCCAACCACAAGAGGACACAGAGTCTAGCTACCATTCACCTAGTGCTATAGGAGATGCCCTCAAGCACCCCACACACTCATGGGGGGCTGGCATATAGGATGTAGGGACTGTAAGAGATGCAAGATCTCCTGGAAAAAGAGCTGAAAGCCAGCTGGGTACCCCAGATCATCTCTGACAGCCTCAGTATTTGAATGCTAGCCCAGGTCTCCATCAATTGTTTGGACACCCTCTCCCTGCCACCACAGGGACATGTGGACAAAGCAGATCCCAGGATGGGAACCTGTTGACATGTGTCTAGCACTGGCTGGGCTACAATTCAGGGATAGGCTCGACCCCCTAATCAAATCACCTCGAACAGCCTTATGAATAGGCCAGAGCTGCCCCAGTGCTGTCTCAAGGGCTGAAATGTAAGGAAGTTGGGAAGCTGTGGGGCAGCAAAGACCAGGAGGCCTACAAGCATCCTTGCAGGGGGATCCACCAGCCCAAATCCCTAAGACAGCCTACTGGCCCTCCTTTCACCCATCTGTGGGGTGCAGGCTTAGCCGTGCCAAGTGGAATCTGCCCCACACCTGGGATTTGGCAGGTCTCTCCTTACCACATCTCTTGGCAACACATGCCAGGTGACCTCCCACACACGTCTGAAGGATGCTGAGAGAAGGTACTGGGTGGGAAGGAGGCAAGATCACCAAGGACTGTACCAGCACCAAAGGCCCATGTCAAGACCCAGCCAGACACAGCCATGAGCTGGAAGAGGCGATGAGACAGAGCCATTGTTAAATAACCATCCTGTAATTAGTGTGCAGAGTGCCAAGGAGCACACACATCCCACCCCCCCCGTTCCCAGCGCTACAGGGACCGTACGAAAAGGGGGGACAGGGTGGGACCCGGGATCTCTAGGAGTCCGAGGGACAACACAAGGGCATCAGCACAGGTAAGGACAGGGCTCTTGTCTTGCTCTTGAGAACAAATGTCCATGTGCCACCCTCTGCCCAGCAGCCACAAGCCAACAGGGGACAAATCCAGGCTCTGGCAGCAGCACGGGGGCAGCTCTGGGAAGCAAGAGGAGGAGGAGAATGATGCAGGGGGCTGGTTGTGTCTCGCTTGCCTGTACTCCATCCAGGTTCCTGCCTGGAAAGTCCCAGGAGCGGTCGGAGAACAACTTACAGCACTGGGCATCGCTTGCTGAGGCTCCCAAAAGTGGACGGCAGCAGCATGTCCCCCTTTTCTTCTGTTCCCTACCAGCCCCGCCAGGGCCTTGGGGCAGGAAAAAAAAAGGGGGTAATTAACCGGGTCATTAGCAGCAGCATGAGATATGGACGGGACATTTAAACCCCAAAAGGCTTAAGTGGGAAAGGGAGGTGCCCGCTCCTCACTCTTCCCCATGATCCTTTCCACCACCTGTACCATCGTAGTGTCTCCCGCCCCCAAAAAACAGCAAGTCTGTCCCCTACTGCGGGCAAGAGCGTGCCCTGACTCCCTGGGAGCCCCCAGCCTGGGGGCTGACGCTCACTGGGATGACTGGGGGGGGAGAGGGACCTTGGGATGATGTAAGGAGGAGGGGAGGGGTGTGTCGCAGCCCTTCTCCCTGCATGAGGGCAAAGAAGAGGGCTCCTGCCTGCCCACTGGTGGTGTGCCATGAGCTGTGGCATGCCTGCCATGAGCTTGCAGCTGCCTCAGCCCACACGCTCAGGAAGGGTCCTGCTGGGATCACCCCCCACGGAGGGAGGGGGAGAGCACGGCCACGGGTCCAGGTTCGGCAGAGGGCTGGGGCTCAGGAGAAGCGCCACAGCTTTTCGGGGGTCCACGCCAGTCTTCGGGCGCACGTACGGGGTCCCCCAGCCTGGGGCTCATCCGCTGTTGGTAGCGGCGTGCTGACAGCCACCGCGGCCTGGCGACACCGTGTCTGCGCTCGCCACGCCGGGGCTCAGCCATCGCGGTGCACGCGTTGGTGCTGCAGCAGGTTGGAGGGGTGAGCGAAGCCCTTGTCACAGACGCTGCACTTGTAGGGGGTCTCGCCCGTGTGCACCTTCTCATGCACGGCCAGGTAGGCCAGGTCCTTGAAGAACTTGTGGCAGAAGCTGCACTTGTAGGGCCTCTCCTGGCTGTGCACGCGGTGGTGCTGGAGGAGCAAGGAGGGCCGGGCAAAGGCCTTCCCGCACACCTCGCATTTGTACGGGCGCTCCCCCGTGTGTGCCCGCTCGTGGATTACCAGATAGGATGACTGCTTGAAGGCCTTCCCACAGGTTTTGCAGACAAAGGGGCGCTCACCGGTGTGCACCCGCTCATGGGAGGAGAGGGCGTTGGATTGCTTGAAGCCCTTACCACAGAGCGGGCAGACGAAGGGACGGTCACCCGTGTGCACCCGCTCGTGCACCTTGAGGCTGTGCCCGTAGGTGAACTTCTTACCGCAGACCCCGCAGACATGGGGCTTGTCGTCGCAGTGCTGGCGCTGGTGGAGGAGGAGGGCGTTGGAGGTGGGGAAGTCCTTCCCGCAGTCGGCGCACTTGAAGGGCTTCTCGGCGCAGTGGGTGAGCGCGTGGCGCTGCAGCTCGTAGGGGGTCTTGAAGCTCTTGGCGCAGCGGGGGCAGCGGAAGGGGCGCTCGCCACTGTGGATGCGCCGGTGCTCTTGGAGGTTGGAGGAACGCTTGAAGCGCTTGCCGCAGAGCTCACAGCGGAAGGGTCGTTCCTCCGTGTGAACCAGACGGTGGCTTTTGAAGTCCGAGTGGCGCTTGAAGGAGGCCTGGCAGAGGTCGCAGCGGAAGGGACGCTCCTCGTTGTGTACCACCTCATGGCTGAAGAGCTCCCAGGCCCGTTTGAAGGCCTTCTCGCAGACACCGCACTGGAAGGGCTTCTCATCCACGATCACCTCACGAATCTCAAGCTCGCCGACACTGCTTGCTCCCCGCTTTGGGTGGGTCGGCAGCCCCACCGCTGCCTCCTCCAGCTCGCCCACTGCGCTCCCCAGCACCAGCTTGGCAGTGGAGTAGATGCCGCGCTCATCGATCAGCTGCACAAAGTCCGGCTTGGGTCGGGCATCGCCAGAAAGGGGCAGCTCAGGGGAGCAGGACCGAGACCCTCTCTCCTCCTCCTCTTCCTCACTGCTCTGTGGTGCCTCTTCCAGCCCATTCTCCATCATCCTCTGCCTGAAGTCACCTGCCCGGCCCCAGATCAACCGCAGCCTCTTCCCCCGGGAGGGTCCCGGCTCTTCAGCACTCTCGCCCCGACCCGGGGATGGTGGGGTCCGGCTTGTCTCAGGCTTTAGGCATAGCCGGTGCTTCCGCCGGCATGGCCGCAGTTCCCCCAGTGCCTGGTGGCACGGGGAAGCCCCCTCGTCCTCATCAGTCTTCTGGCAAGGCCTGCATGCACCCCGAGGGGTGAGAGAGCCCTGACCACGGCAGCACCGTCCCGAGCGGCGTGGAGAAGCTTGTCCTAGCTGCTCCAGGGAGCCTTCCTCCAGCTCTTCTCCTGGCTGCATCCCAGCTGCATCCTGCTCCTGAGCCGCCTCCTGCTCTTCTTCATCTTCAGACCCATCTCTTCTGGAAAGAGGGGAGAGCCTCTGCGAAAAGGGGGGCTCGCAGGCTGGAGGACCTGGCTGCCCTTCCATGGCAGCCCCTGCAAAAATGAGAAAGGAGAGAGCATGAGAGAAGCAACAGGCTGGAGCAAGACGGTGAGGGAACTGGTGCGAATACGAAGACATGGTGGTAGCAGCACAGAGGGAGGTCAGAGAGATACGGATATACAGGAAGGGAGGGAAACAAGGAGGCAGAGACAAGACACTACAGAGTTTGTAAAACCTGGCATCACCAATCCCTTTCCCCTTTGTGGGATCAAGGTGACAGGCAGACCTAGTGCCAGAGAAATGGTCCAGATTGCCAACTGAAAGCCTTTTTACCCATGAGCCTGTCACTACCATCCAAGAGCACCTGCTATGCATAGCAAGAAGGGATTCACTTCCTTGCAGGGCCTGCTCATAAGTTACCTGGTTGGAGCAACAGCTGAGGGACCAGCTCCAGCCATGACCCCAGCCGTCAAGGGCCATACTGGCTGACCAGCAGCTTCCAGGCAGGGATCTGAAATGCTCCTTGGAGGGTGCTTGGTCTCCCCGGGTGCCTACAGGACTCCCCTGTCTGCAACAAGGAGCTGCCAGCCCTGCCTCAGGCACAGGCAGTGCATGCACAGAGGGATTCAGCCCCCAGCTCCTGGAGCACGACTTGGATCCGGCGCATATTGGGGTGTTTTTTCAGATCACCTTCTCAACAAACGCTCCTCTCTTAGGCTGGTGTTTTTCCAAGTTCCGTCTAAGCCCGCCAATACCTCCAGAGCCTGTTCAGCAGTTGCACAGCTTGACAAGAGGCACCAGGCTCCAATATCCAGCTCAGGGATCCCCTGGGCTGGATTTGCCATTCCCACTCAGGTCACTGCACGTGGATCCATTTAGCCAAGGAAGAAGGCTAAAGCACAATCTGTGTCCCAAAACCCCATGTGAAATCACACCTCACGAGAGCCTGATGCACAGACCAGAGCAACCAGCTAAAACAAGGAGCTTTTCATGGCAAGCAGCTAAATTCAGGTGGTTTGCTCTCACCAGACATCCACAGCCCACAGACATCCCAGTGAGAAGCAGCTGGGTTGAGGGGACGTCAGGAGCAGCAGATGCTTTAAGAGCCTCCAAGCACCATGTTGTACAGAGAAAAGCGTTCCCACTGACCTGACGCCAACATGGCAAGGAAGCTGCCATAAAGCCAGACGTAAAACTGCCCTAAAGGTGCCTGAGAAGGGACTCTTGTGGGTGTAGGAAGGGAAACAGCTGTCAGAGAATAAAAAACAGAAGAGAAGAATGATACAGGCTGGGGAGACATTGTGCCAAAGCCTCCCAAGGACCAATAAATGCTGGAGACCTGCAGTTGAACCCGCAAGGACCAATAAACTCTGGGCACAAAGACTCCGCTGAGTCTGCTCGAGGCCACGAGCCCATGCTGGCATCTGCCACAGAGGTTGTAATATGGTATAACTCAGTAGCTGCTATGAAGAGACAGGAGTTTGTGGGAAAACAGACAGCTGGTAACACAACAGGGTCTTTCCAAGATTTTTCCAAGCCTCTCCCCCAGCACCCCAATATCAGTGGGAGCCCATTGCAGCTGGGGATGGAGCCTCAACCAGACAACTGCAAGAGAAAGGAGGAGGATGAGCTATGGATGAGTGAGCTAAATGCTATTAACAACCACTCTGAGCCCATTAAAGCTTAATGAATAAGAGGTGCTCCAAGAAACTCTGCTCCTCACCCACACCTCCCATCCCCAGCTGGGTCTCAAGGTGCAGAAAAGGGAATTCACGGCCAAAGCAAGAGGGTTTCCAGGTGCAATTTGGTCTCGCTGGCACGGAGTAATGTCAGCCCAAAGGGTAATGCAGGAGCATTGGATACCCCAATAAATTGAAGCCAAGGAATCCCACCTTGAAAAGGGAGGAGATGAAGGTGATAGTCAAATATATTACAAACAGAAAAGGTTGACAGGGATGGAAAGTTGAATAAGTGAGAAGGCCAGAAGTAGAGAAAGCCAATAAAAACCCCAAACCAGCAGAAGTCCTTATTTAGATGAACTGAGACAACTACTTTTTGTCCCCTGCTGAGGCAGGCACTCATGAGATGCCCTCGTTGTTGTTTAAATGGCCCAGGCCCGAGTCTTTACTGCACGAGTAATGCTGGAAGCTGAGAAGGTGGCTCAGCATTACACTCACCTTTCTGGGATGGATTTGGACCATTCCTTAGCCAGGACTATCACCTGGAGGCTGCAGAGCCCTTCCCTTTGGGTTGAGACATCAGGGTGACACTGGGTGGGGGATGAGAAAGCCCCACCCCCAGCAGAGGGGAGAATGAACCTGCCATCTCAGGTCCCCCTGCTCTCAAATCCAGGTGTTAAAAAGAGGGAATCTCTTGTGTAGGCACAAAGGGACGGCAAAGTGGGCTGGAAGCAAGATATGGACACAGAGCAGGAGACTCACGCAAGCAGATGGTGAAGAGCCCCATGCCCTACCTTTCATTGGAAATGTGCCTCCAAAAAAGCCAAACATTAGAGCTGCCTTTGCTGCCATCTGGACATCCAACATGTCCTGGCTGACTTGCCATTGCGAATTCAGGCCAGATGATAAATTCGATGTTTTTCTGGCACTGTGTGATGGCTACGGTGAAGTCACCAAGGGGTTTTGGGGCTTCCCTACTTGCTGCAGCACTGGGTACAGCTATGTGGGAGCCCCTTGAGGACCACCACAGTGGGGGGATATTAGCTGGGAGAAGAACAAAATGAGACACCGGACTTACTGGGGGCCAGGAGGGATGCACCACACCAGCTGGTTTAAACTAAGGGGTTTCAGAGTGATCTGTTCTTGGGGAAGGGATTGAAGTGTTCAGGCAGCACTCACAGGCCTTGTGAGCCAGAGGAACAGAAAGGGGAGAAGCAATAAAAGCACAAGGGCAGCAAGGTGACGTGTCTGGGGGAAAAAAACAGCAAATGTCTGCTGGAGCGGAACTTCTCTGCTAAAACAGAGAAGATCTGGGGGGATCAGTCCAAGACAGGTGACCATGAGGGTCCTAAAAAAGCTTACATGCTCCTAAAACGTAGCAGGAGAAGTACTCCCCAAGTGGGCAGCACCACAGCTGAGCCAATCCCCAGTGAGAACGGCTTTGGTGAAGATAGAGTGACAGCGAGTTGCCATTTCAGAGAGTCACGGGACTGATCGGAGCGACCAGTCCTGCCTGCAGAGCAAGAGCTGGGGGCATCACGCGTAGCCACAGAGGAATTGCAGCCTGCAGGCTCTAAATAAAAGCAAGAAAACATGATAGGAAAGGAAAAAGAGTAATTTCAGTGGAAGCACAGGGCGGGTGTGGGAGCGAGGAGGCAGTGGGCAGCGATGGAGGAATTTGCAGCAGCAGAAAAGGCTCCAACAGCAGCCGCCTAAGAGCTGCTGGGCCAAAAATACACTATTTTTTTCACACCACACCACACCCCTCCCCCCCCCAGCGCCAGTGACGCCCCCAGCCCACCCAGCATCCCCAGCACCCGTGGGATGGCCAAGAACCCACACACAGCCCAGCCCCTCACCCCTCTTCCATGCTGCAAACACTCCCGATACTCCCAGCGTGGTCCAGTTTTCCCCCAGTATAAACAAGGACCCTCCCTAGATATCCTGATTCCCACCCCACCTCAACAATACCATAAGCCCTCCCAGCATGTTCCCCGTTTCCCTGGTATCACCCAGACACTCCCATCACATCCCCCTTCCAAAACCCATTACAACCAGACACCCCCCCAAGTACACCCCAATCCCTCCCAGTATTAACCAGACCCTCTATCTTCATCCCCTCCCTCACCCCCACTACAACCAGATGCCCACAATATGCCCCAGTCACCCCCAGTACGAACCAGATTTATTTCATTAGTCTACCACCCACCACTATAAGCACACCCTCCCAGAATGCCCCAGTCCTTCCCAGTACCAGCCCCTCTCATTTCACTGACCTCCCCTTCCAACCAGAACACTCCTGTGTACCTCAGTCCCTCCCGGTATAAACCAGAGCTCCTCAGCTCGCTGCCCTCCCCCAGCCCGCTCCCACCCGGCCATCCCAGCGTGGCCCAGCCCCCCCCAGCGCCACTCGCATCTCCTCATCCCTTCCATCCCCATTACAACCCAGGCACCCCCAGTACCCCCCACCCCGTCCCGGCATCAAGACCCCCTCATCTCTCAGTGCTCCACCACCACGATTACAACCGCACCTTCCCAACCTGTCCCAGTCCCCCCCCAGTACCAACCAGACCCTTGCTGCCCTTCCCCCAGCCATTACAAACAGACCTCTCCAGCACGCCCCGGTGCCCCCCGGTATCAACCAGACCCTCATCTCGCTGCCCTCCCCCCAGCCATTACAACCACAACCTCCCGGTCCCCCCAGCATCACCCAGACACGGCCCATCCCCAGCTCACCGGGCCCTGCCGCCCCCCGCACACCCGGCCGGTGCCGCGGCCCAACGCCGCTTCCGGCCGCGCTCGCGCGCAGCGCGGTAACGCCACTTCCGGGGGCGGGGCGGGGGAGGGGGGGGAGGCGGTGCATGCGCAGGGAGCGCGGCGGAGGGGCGGGGGGGGGGTGAGTCCGGAGCGGGAACGGGGACACGCGTGTGCGTGGGAGAACCGGCGTGGGCAGTGCGGGGCCGTGTCTGGAGGGAGCGTGTGGGCACAGGGACACGCGTGTGCGTGGGAGAACCGGCGTGGGCAGTGCGGGGCCGTGTCTGGAGGGAGCGTGTGGGCACAGGGACACGCGTGTGCGTGGGAGAACCGGCGTGGGCAGTGCGGGGCCGTGTCTGGAGGGAGCGTGTGGGCACAGGGACACGCGTGTGCGTGGGAGAACCGGCGTGGGCAGTGCGGGGCCGTGTCTGGAGAGAGCGTGTGGGCACAGGGACACGCGTGTGCGTGGGAGAACCGGCGTGGGCAGTGCGGGGCCGTGTCTGGAGGGAGCGTGTGGGCACAGGGACACGCGTGTGCGTGGGAGAACCGGCGTGGGCAGTGCGGGGCCGTGTCTGGAGGGAGCGTGTGGGCACAGGGACACGCGTGTGCGTGGGAGAACCGGCGTGGGCAGTGCGGGGCCGTGTCTGGAGGGAGCGTGTGGGCACAGGGACACGCGTGTGCGTGGGGAGGACACACGTGCATGTGAAAGGACACACATGTGCAATGCAGGCACATACCTGGAGCATATGTGTGGGCAGAAGGACACAAGGACATGCATGTGCGTGGGAGGACACACATGTGCACTGCAGGAATGTACCGGGACTGTATGTGTGGACATAGGCATGTGCAGGTGATGACACGTGTGGGCAATGCAGACACGTGTCTGAAGTGTGAGTGAGTGGGCATAGGGACACGTGTGCATGGGGGTGCGTGCATGTGCAATGCAAGGACATACCTGGAGAGCACATGTGGGCGTGGAGGCACACATGCAAAACGGACATGCCTGGAATACATGTGTGGGCATTGGAACACACGTGTGTGTGGGGACACGTGTGTGCAATGCAAGGATGCATCTGGAGTGTGTGTGTGGGCATGAGGGCACGCATGTCCAACACAGGGGCATGTCAGGAGCATGTGTATGTGCATGGAGGCACATGTCTGCATGTGGGGACAGACATGTGCAATGCAGACGTGTCTGAGGCATGTGTGTGGGCATAGGGACACGTGTGTGCGGTACAGGGGCATGCCTGAAGCATGTCTGTGCAAGCGGACATGCATGTGCATGTGGGGACATATGTGCAATGCAGGGACATGCCTGAGGCACGTGTGTGCATGTGAGGATGTGTGTGCAAATCAGGAGCATGCTTGGAGCATGTGTATGCATGCAGACATAAGTGTGCATGCAGGGACACGTGTGCAGTGGAGGCACGTGCCTGAAGCACATGGGTATGTATGGGGAGGCACATGTCCATGACAGGGACATGCCTGGAGCGCGTATGTGTGCATACGGACATGTGTGTGCAATGCAGGAAGGTGCCTGAAGTGCATGTGTATGGGGACATGTGTGAATGTGAGGACATGCATGTGCAATGCAGGAATTTGCCTGAAACACGTGTGCACATGAAGACACATACCTGTGGGAACATGTGTGTGCATGTGAGGACATGTGTGCGCAAAGCAGGGACGTGCCTGAAGGATATGTGTGTGTATAGGGACAGGTATGTAGGTGGCAGAGACATGCCTAGAGCACATGTGTGTGCATGTAGACATGTGTGCATGTGGGGACATGTGACTGCATGGCAGGGACATTCCTGAACCATGTGTCTGTATGAGGACACGTGCATGGCAGAGATGTGCTTGGAGTGCGTTTGTGTGCATGGGAACATGCAGGTGCATGGGGAGACGTGTGCAATGCAGTGGCATGCCTGAAGCATGTATGTGTGTATAGAGGCAGGTGCGTACATGTGGGAACACATAAGTACATGACACAGACGTGTGTGCAATGCAGGTATATGCCTGGAGAAAGTGTGTGTGTGTATGGGGGGGACATGTGTGCCATGCAGGAACATGCCTGGAACATATGTGGGCATGTGGGGATGTGTGTACCTGGCAGGGACGAGCCTGCAGCATGAGCATATATGTGAGGACATGCTTGTAACAGTTGTGTGTGCATGTGGGCATGCTTGTTTGCATATGGGGACATGTGCATGGCAGGGACGTACTTGGAGTTCATGTGTGTATATGGAGACATGCGTGTGCATGTGAGGATGTGTGTACGTGTCAGGGTTATTCCTGGAGTTTGTGTGGTTTTGCACATGAAGACACACGGGCATGTGGGGTCAAGCACATGCATCGCAGGGACATGCCTTGGGCACATGATTGTGCATGGGGACATGCGCGTGCATGTTGGCCACATGTGTGCAATGCAGGGGCATGCCTGGAGTACATGTGTGTGCATGTAGGGATATGTGTCTGCATGGCAGGGACACTCCTGGGGCATGTGTGTATGTATGCGCACATGTGTGTGCATTGCAGGGACATGCCAGGAGCAGACGTGGGTATGTGGGGACACACGTGTTTGATGCAAGCACGCACCTGGAACACGTGTGTGCACATGTGGGGACACACATGCAATGCAAGTACACACCAGGCTGCTCCCATCCTCGGCGTGGGAGGAGTAGGATGTTGGCAGAGGAGGAGTAAGATCCTCATGCACGAGGAGTAGGATCTCGCACAGAAGTAGGTTCTCAGCAGAGGAGGAGCAGGAGCTCAGCACAGGAGTGGGATCTCACGCAGGAGTAGGATCTCAGGAGGAGTGGGATCTCACACACAAGGAGTAGGATCTCATGCAGGAGTGGGATCTCACATGAGGAGTGGGATCACACAAAAGGAGTAGGATCTCAAGCAGGAGTAGGATCTCGGGAGGAATGGGATCTCACACAGGAGGAGTGGGATCACACGCAAAGCGTAGGATCTCACACAGGAGTAGGATCTCGGGAGGAATGGGATCTCACACAGGAGGAGTGGGATCACACGCAAGGAGTAGGATCTCCCACAGGAGTAGGATCTTGGGAGGAATGGGATCTCACACAGGAGGAGTGGGATCACACGCAAAGCGTAGGATCTCACACAGGAGTAGGATCTCGGGAGGAATGGGATCTCACACAGGAGGAGTGGGATCACACGCAAGGAGTAGGATCTCATGCAGGAGTGGGATCTTGGGAGGAATGGGATCTCACACAGGAGGAGTGGGATCACACGCAAGGAGTAGGATCTCACACAGGAGTAGGATCTCGGGAGGAATGGGATCTCACACAGGAGGAGTGGGATCACACGCAAGGAGTAGGATCTCACGCAGGAGTGGGATCTCACACAGGAGGAGTGAGATCTCAGAGCAGGAGCAAGATCTCAGTGCAGGAGGAGTAGGATCTTGGTGCAGGAGGAGTCGGAACTCTCCTGGTAGGTGAAGGGGAGGGCACGGAACGGGGTCAGATCCTGGAGGTGAAACAGAGGTGAATAGACTCAGACTCCTAGAATGGTTTGGGGGGGAAGGGACCTTTGAAGCTCATCTGCTCCAACCCCCTGCCACGGGCAGGGACATCTTCAACTAGGTCAGCTTGCTCAGAGCCCCATCCAACCTGACTTTGAATGTCCCCAGGCATGGGGCACCCACCACCTCTCTGGGCAGCCTGTGCCAGGGCCTCAGCACCCTCAGTGTGAGAGGGGGATGTGTGAGCGTGCTGCATCCAGCCCCAGGACCCGAAGGGCTCGTGCTGTTGGGTCATCACCCAGCTAACCAACCTGGTCCTTTGGGATTCACTACAGGGGTGCTCTGAGATGTTCCCACCCTCCAACCTTATGCCCACCTGCCAAATTGGCAGTACAAGTGGACTCAATATAAACCAATAACACGGACAACCACCAGCAGCCCTTTGGCAAACATTCTGAGAGCTCAAATACTTGTTCTTGGGTCTGGAAGGGCTGTGAGTGCTTTGAAGGACCTGGGGGTGATGCAGCTCTTTGACTTGAGTTTGGCAAGAGGCAAAGCAAACAAGGAAACACAAACTGCACCAAGCAGGGAAATAAGAGACACAGGAGCTGGTTAAAAAACCACACTGTATTTCAAAAAATAAAAATAGGGAAGAACCCAACCAACCAACCAAACCAAGGTTGCAAATAACCGCAGGCAGAGGAGATAGAGAAGGTCCTTGGAGGTGCCCAGTGCAATCATCCCAGATGAGCAATGTCTCCATGTCTCCCCAGGTTGCCTGGACATTCTTGTGCTACAACACAATCTCCTGGCTCCTTAGGGTCCCAGGAGGGACTTGGTTTGGGGCAACTGGTGAAGGTTGAGGCAAGATGACATGGTGACGTGGACCTCTTTGAGGCACATCCCAACGGAGGACCATCACGTCAACCAGCCAGCAGGGCTGCACCTTTTAGGCACCTAAGAGTTGCCACGTTCCACGTTCCCTTGCTGTTCAGTGGGGAAGGACGGGAATCGCATCCCCACGGGACCTGCTGCTCCTCATTGTCCCATCTGGAGGTGTTGCTGCTCCCCATCACCCTGAGCACCACCCAGTGCCTCCAGAGAAGACCTGATCGACTGGTCCCAAGACAAATCACCTTTGGCCATCTTCAGTGCCTGCCCAGCGTGTTTAACCGGTGCATCCCATCCAGGCGACATCTGAAAAAAACAGTTCCAAAATGGATATTGATATTTTTGCTGCTTTATTTATTTGTTTCTATCTAATTGGGGACAATGTCCTGTTGGATCTGCAGCAGTGGAGGAATTGTCCAGGCTCCTGGAAAGCGTGATGTGTTTGATTTTTGTTCCACTTTAGCACAAATGGGATTTCCGTAATGACACTTCACTCCTCTATTACCACTTTAATTAATTTTGAAGTGATAACTTCAATTCATTAACTAATTTTAAAACATTCTAAATAGCTGTGGATTCTGGTTTGGGTAAGTTTTGGATATTTTTCTAGAGTCTTAATGCTGAAGAAATTAATTTATTCATAGCTCATC